TTTTTTTTTCATTTCCGAAGGTTCTTGCTTGGTTTGTTTGCTTTTTTCTTTTTTTTTTTTTTTTTTTTTGCATTTCCGAGGTGTCTTGCACAGTTTGTTTGCTTTGCTTTGCTTTTTTTCCCCTTCGGCCGGAACGGATTAATCGCGTTTCTGATGGGTCTTGCAGTGGAATGCTTGGGGTGTGTGTGATTTTTTCCTTCAGCCAGAACAGATTAGTTGCATTTCAATGCATTCCTATGGAAAATGGTGCTTCGACTTACACCCATTTCGATTACAACTGGAGTTCCGGAACCAATTAAGGTTCGTAAGTCAAGGCACCGCTGTATACGTATTTGCAGTTAGCAGCTGGATCAAACTGTCATTGACAATGTAGTTTAAAAGGACACTTTCCTGGGTACCTCTTCTATTCAAAGAAAACAGAAGGTACTTCAGATGGTGAGAAGGATACATGTCTGATCACACTGGGAAGGGTCACTTTGCCAGGAGGAAACTTTCTTAAAATGACCCTTTCATCCAGAAGTCAGTTCAGCCCAGCCCTCAAAAGTAGAATCTCTACTGCTGGATCAAAAGGTTTGGGCACAGTTTGGGGTCAGGCCGGAGCATGCTTGCCCATACGTTGTTATTATTATTATTATTTTTTGAGAAAACAACTCCCTGTTGGTGCTTTGTTTCTGGAGCTTTTTAAAAAACTGTTAATTAAAAGCTTATAACATACTACTCTGACCATGCAATGAACTTCCACCCATTCCTGATTAATTAGTTTCAAAGAACATCTGGAAATCTATTTTTTATGTTGGGGGGAATTCCATACTGGAGCTTCTGCTCAGAAACTATCTTGTGCATTCATTTTGCTTGCACTTTAAGAACTGTATTTAAACTTTCTGAGCATCTGCAAATGCCACCCCATTAACAAAATTAGAGAAAAAGAACTATGCCTTCTAGAAGGATGCTTTGCCACTAAAAGTTTCAGTGCCTGTCACTGTCTGTTACATGGCATAGCAGATAATGCTTACATCATCTGAGTAGCTGTACAAAAAATCAGGAACTCTGCAGACCTGTCAGGTATAGTTCAAGGAAGAAATGCCCTATCTGGATGAGCTCACAGTTGCTGACTACTGACTTCTTTATACAATCAAGAGAAATTTCAGTTTACTTGTGTATAGTGACTTGAATTAGCACTAGGGTGGAACAGATTCTCCCCCCACCTCCATGTCCTGTTTGAAAAACAGCACAGCCACTTGGGCTCGTAAAAAGGTTTCCCAGATGTTGTTTTTTTTACCCTACAACAGAAAAACAGGCAGACCCGTGCCTTTTTCCTTGGAGGAGGGGGGCATACATATATATATCTAATAAAATAAATAAATACAACTTTCAGAAAGGCAACTTTCAGAAAGGCAACTTTCTGCTGAGCATTGCTGCAAGGGGAAAAGGAAGGTCTCCTCATCTTCAAACTACAGTGTCAGCAAAAGGAATGTACAGTTCCTTCCTCAGATGAGCAGGTAATACATGTGATTACCTGCACTGAAAGCTTCCAGGAAATCTCATTATTGCCCTGATTGCCCTCCACAGGAAGGGCAATAGAGACAGGAAATCATGTTATGCTTGTCAGCTTCCCAGTGGCATTTGTTTACCTAAGGAATGCTGGCCAACAGCAAAATTCAATGTATATTTACACAATGGCAAATTCTGAACACATCAGTGGGATTTCCAAGAAAGCATGAGTAAACTCACAACTCTCTGGACCCAGCCTGACAGTTCTTCCACAGTCATCCCAATTTAAAATAGATAAAAACAGGATGCAGTAGCATACCTCTTTGGAGTATTAAAACAATCCTGGTTTATCATCGACATGCAGGCTTTTTTCTGCTGCTCCCGAGTTTCTGGATTGAAGTCTGCTAGGAGAGGACCTGGATTCTGAAATGCCAGACATTTCAGCTGACGTTCTATTTGTTGCTATAAACAAACAAAAAGGTATTTGCAGTGTCACGCTTGAATTTTCAGTTAAAAGCAAAAACATGAAAAAGAGAATGACAATCAGAATGCATTGGTACCTTAGCAATAAGGGGCAGCTCATCCATTATACTTTGGGTATGCTGCTGATCCCTGTGATTTCCCCAAATGTGGGGAACTCAACTGCATAATTTGTGTTAATGGGGGCATTATGTTTGTGATTTTTCTGTTGTTGTTTTTTAACAATCTCTTTACCCTTTGGTTCCTGGCTATCTTTACCATCTTCTACCATTTAAATCTGTAGCCATAACCCCATTGAAGACCTACTTTTTTTTTATCCCAAAAAAGTGGGGGAGAAAGTGTATGCTGCTGTTTTTCTAGGAGGCAGACCCTGGAAAGCCAGCAGCATACACTTTCTCCCCCACTTTTTTGGGATAAAAAAGTAGGTCTTATGTAATTAATGGGTTCCAATTGAGGGGGGGGGAAATGTCTTGCAAAACAGGGTCCAAAAAAACGTATCTTGCAAGGCAAGGACCCAAACATCATCCAATGAAAATTGCCCATAGGAACAACTGTTTTGTGAAGCACAACATTGCTCAAAAAAAGTCATCGTCTAGCGAATTCCTCATTTTGCGAAGCACCACTGTATTTGGTCTTTTTAGATGGAGTGTTGCATGTAGGCACGAAGACAGTTTTAATGTCAGCTGGTCTTTCCTGCAGCTTTGTCACTAACAAAGTTATTTGGCCTGAAGGCTTACGCAGAAAGGAATTACAAAACAGCAGCCAAGCCACCAATTTCCTTGCCTCCTTAGGCAACACAACTGTGCTAACTGCAACTGTGATGGATACTGGAAACAAAATCAGGATAAACCAGAATTTGAAATTAAAAGATAGCAAAGAAAATACAGAAATGCAGTGCAGTATCATTTGATTTCTTAGTGAAAGATGAGTGGGAATTATATCCATAATGAGGGGTGGGGAAATGCTATCATGCAAGCAACCCATGACATTTAATACTGGGCATGCATGCCAGTTTCCAGATTAATCTAAGGAAGCCCAGTCAGGCTAGTTTTGTGATCTGCAAGTGAATCTCAAGCTCACCAGAAGCCTTCCCCTTCACACTGCCTCAAAATCACCACCCCTGAGACAGTCCTAAAATACTGCAAAGCTCTGAGGTATGACGACCAAAAGAAGGGAAGGGGTGGGGCTCCATGGCACAGCACATGCTCTCTGTGTTAAAAAAAATCTCCAGTTCAGTCTTTGGCTGCCTCCCAGGCTGAGAAAGACCGAGAATGTATTCGCGAAGGCTTTCACAGCCGGGATCTAATGGTTGTTGCGGGTATTTCGGGCTCTTTGGCCGTGTTCTGAAGGTTGTTCTTCCTAACATTTTGCCAGTCTCTGTGGCCGGCATCTTCAGAGGACAGCACAGATCACAGACAATATGGTCTTAGATTTTTAACAGTTTTTTTTTTAAATTTCAATCAGTTGTATTCTGATTTAATCATTACCTACTTTCTTCATTCTTGTCCAATGTGGCATTATTCAGAATTAATGTCAGTTAGGTATTTTGTTCCTTACAGGGAAACCAGTGTATACAATGGAAGTCAGAGGCTTCAAGGAGGGAGAATAAGTAAAGGAGGGATTAACTTGCTGTCCTCTGAAGATGCCGGCCACAGAGACTGGCAAAACGTTAGGAAGAACAACCTTCAGAACACGGCCATGGAGCCCGAAATACCCGCAACAACCAAAGACAGAGAAACTCAAAAGAACTGTGGCTGTTGGGGAGACAACACTATAGATCTGAGGGAGAAAACCTCCAGGACCCTGGAGGGCTGCGCCTGCTCCTGCAACCTCCTTCCCACGCCCATTTTTTTCCTAACTGAAAAGGCTTCCTCACCCTGGCTTTTAACACGAGGGGGGGGGAATGGACCCCGGAATGACATTCAAAATATGCCAAATTTGCCTCCCTCCCTTTCTCTAAATCAGTGGTCCCCCAACCTTGGGCCCCAACCTTTTAAGACTTCAACTCCCAGGAATCCTGGCTAGCAGAGATGACGGTGAAGGCTTCTGGGAGTTGTAGTCCAAGAACATCTGGAGGCCCAAGGTTGGGGAGCACTGATCTAAATGACACCAAGATACTTTTTTGAGCATTTAAAAATACAAATAAATACATCTGGAGGGGCAATAGGGGTTTGGAGGCCCCTACCAGTGCTTGGTCCCTGTAGGTTCTCATGTGGTCTTTATCAGATCGAGAGAGATACACAGCCTCGGCATTTCTTGGGATCAGAGCAGAGCTTTTTACTGTCGTACTGTCAGAAAGATTGCTATAGGCACAAATCATCAAAAAGTTTTTTTTATTTAAGTCTCTCCGTACAGTTGACTGAAGCTTGCACCACAAGACTGCCAAGACGGCTTACTGTGTCTGTAACAGTCTTATTCACAGCACTCAGTTTCTCTGCATGAACATTACTCAGGAGTATTTAGGCCTATCTACAGAGAAAATATTGAGAGATTTTAGTAATATAAGCATTGGTTTCATAAGTCTTCTTAATGTAGGTCTTCAGTAATCTACAATGCAAGCTGAAAAGCTTAAACTCAGCCACTTTCAGATTGTTTTCTCTCTCCCTCCATACTCTTACCATCTTCTTTTTCCACTTATGGCCTTGGCTTGGCAATGGAAGAATCTGAAGGCAAGGAAAAGGCACAGGAAAAAAATCACTGATGCAAAACAACCAAATACACAGAAGACTACACAAAACAAAGCACTAAGCAGACACCAATATCGCTTGCAATGGCAGGGACACATGAACTTAGAGTAATTGTTTTATGTTCTTTATAAGCAAGGGAGGGTTGAATCTAGATACAGTATATGATTCATCCCTGCAAAGCTAGCATGCATGTGTATCTAAATGTAGGAAGTGTAATTGTTTTATGTTCTTTATAAGCAAGGAAGGGTTGAATCTAGATACTGTATATGATTCATCCCTGCAAAGCTAACATGCATGTGTATCTAAATGCAGGAAGTAGACAATATGGTCTTAAATTTTTAACTGTTTTTTTTTAATCTCAATCAGTTGTATTCTGATTTAATCATTACCTACTTTCTTCATTCTTGTCCAATGTGGCATTATTCAGAATTAATGTCAGTTAGGTATTTTGTTCCTTACAGGGAAACCAGTGTATACAATGGAAGTCAGAGGCTTCAGGGAGGGAGAATAAGTAAAGGAGGGATTAACTTGCATTCCGAAATTCATTTCTCAAAAGTAATATTGGGTTTCATCCGTAAAATATAGTCCTAATAAAAGGCTTACAAAATGGAACCAAAATAATAGGTTGTGAGGCTGGTGGACAAATGCCAAACAGATGAAATCAGGTGAATTAAATAGATTTATGCTAAATCAGTTGTGGAATGAGCTGCCTAAAAATCTCTCTCCTGCACATGTGCGATTTTACTGCTATCAAATTACCTTTTTGTAACACTGGATTATGTCTGGATGTTTTAAATTGCTGTGTAACAACTGTTCCATTATATGGTTAGCTAACTCTTCATAGTGTCTCATCATGAGAATAGAGCAAAGTTGAACAGGGAATCATAACTTTTCCAGTACTGAAGATCAAGTGGTGAACCATACCAATCCCACTGCACATAAGCAGCCCATCGTATGATAACAGCTGCAATGTGGAAGGATTTTGAGTGGACTGCACATGCTGGCTGTACTCAATAGGTCACTCTCAAATACCATTTCACTGCTGATTAAGGATGCAAATGCACAAGCATATTAGCGTGTGCTACAGTATACCTCTGTGTTGCATTGTGTAACTTCTTTTGCACCACAACTCTTGGGTTACTTTGTGGCTTGCACCAACGCTTCCTTTCTCACAGACAGGCATAGTCAAAATCTTAACCCCCAAGTGCTAAGTAAATTATTTTGGCAGACATTATTTTCATCGCCAAAATATGATGAACCATTAAACTGACATCTTTATTTACATGAAGATTTCTGTCCCACCTTGTCACCGAAGAATCAAGGTAGCTAACAATAAACATAAAAAGAGAAGCCTCAGATACTTTCCTAAAAAGTATGTATGCTTGTTCAGAGAGCAGAATAAATCAAAAAGCTTCCATAAACATTCTCTGGATTCAAAGGATTCACTTAGCCCTAAGGTAAAGGTAAAGGTTCCCCTTGACAAATGTCCAGTCGTGTCCGACTCTAGGGCGCAGTGCTCATCCCCGTTTCCAAGCCATAGAGCCAGCGTTTGTCCATAGACAGTTTGCATGGTCACGTGGCCAGCGCAACTAGACATGGAACCCTGTTACCTCCCCACCATGTTGGTACCTATTTATATACTCTCATTTTTACATGCTTTCAAACTGCTAGGTTGGCAGGAGCTGGGACAAGTGACGGGAGTTCACTCCATTGCGTGGATTCGAGCTGCTGGTCTTTCAACCTTGCAGCCCAGAGGCTTCTGCAGTTTAATCCGTAGCGCCACAACATCCCTTAACCCTAACCTTATCCAGGTTCAAGTCACAGAAACCTGTTAAGTACAGGCACCTAAATATGTTTGCAAAGCCCATGACAGACTTTCTTGCACAATGTGCAAAGGCGTGAAAGTGAAACCTTATTTTGCCTTGTCTTCTTCTTGCACTGCTAAAAACTACAACTGCAGTGCAAACCAAAAATTGTACTTAAAAAAAATTCCTCCCAGTTTAGCACTACAGCACCAAAGTGATGATAAGAGTATGAATTCAATGTATTCACAAAGACTTTCACAGCCAGGATCTAATGGTTGTTGTGGGTCACATAGTGATGTTCGGGACCTTGCCTCGCTTAGCGATGACAGTTTTAGGTCCCCTGTTTTGCTTAGCGATATTCCATTTTTGCTATTTTTAAAGTGTCTTAAAAGGTTCAAAATGGTTTTACATGCTTGAGATCATTAGTGCACCTTCTAAAGCCTTTGCGAAACGTTAGGAAGAACAACCTTCAGAACACAGCCAAAGAGCCCGAAAAACCCACAACAACCAGTATCAATTCAAATGCTCACAATGTCTTGTCAGTTTACTACCATTTAACTTCCTAAACATTTTTAAAAGGGTGTCTATATGCCAGCAAAAGGGCTGGGTAAGAGGTGGTGGTAATTACAGTAATGGTATTTCTTTGTTTTCAGTTCCCTTTTTTTTAATGGCAGCTTCAGAAGAGAGAATCACATATAGAGAGAAACCATACCTGTTGTTTTTGCAGTGGCGTATTCTGCTTAGTGCAAACATTTGCTTCCCCTGAGAAAGATTCTTCTACAGCAGGAGATCCTCCTTCCAAGAAATCCTCCATTTTCAAAAATAGGCAATACCTGCAGTGACATATACACAAAATATACAAGAGGAAATGCATCAGGAGACAGTGTTTTGAATTTAGATATTTATTTATTTATCTACAAGAATTTTTTTAGCCACACCATTAACAATGGTCTCTGAGCAGCGTACAACAATACTAAAACTTTAGAAAAACATTAAAACTATTAAAAATACCCAATATTATAATAATACCCTATATTAAAACAGTAAATTTATCATTAATAAATTTTACTGCTCATACGGCCAGCTAAAGGATAGCTCCAATTAATTTACTCCTATAGTAAAATTAAAATATTTCCAATCTTATTGGTTTTTTACATGGCCAAACAACAATTAACATCCAACATAGCCAAGCCATTAACAGGTGTTTATCTTAGTGGTGAAACTATGGCGAACCTGTGGACCACGTGACACTGTTGGACTCCACATCCAGCCAGCATGGTCAATGGTCAGTGATGGGAGTTGTAGTCCAACGTCTGGAAAGAGACTAGATTTCCACTCCTGCTTTAACCGAATCTATGTACTGGTGGAGTTCAGAAAAAATGTCCCAAAATTTTTGTTACATTGTGGATGTACCACAATGTAAGAAAAGGAGGATGTATTTTAAAAATCCAGACACTTCAGGATATCTGTAGATTGATATTTGAGAACAACTGAGTTAAATTAATCCAGACAAAATCATCTGGAGAAATGAAACTATGGAGAAAGAATGCCATGCAATTCCAATATCCTACCAGCCGAGTTTTAAAATGATACACCTGCAAGATGGAAACCGTGTAATACATATTCTGAACAAATGTTCTATTTACATTACATAACTTAGGCTCACGATTTTTCTGCAGTTGTTGAACACATTAACAAAAAATAAGTAAATTAAAAATTTAATTGCTCTATCGTGATATCAGTCCAGACTTTTTTTCCGCAGACACACAACAAGGACTTTCATAGCTTTTATTACTTTGATCAAGCTCAATTGCAACGATGGCCTAATAAATGATAGCTTTCAAGCCAAGAATTAGTATCAGAAACATGTTTTCTCCTTTCCCCTTTTGGTTATGCAACAGAAGATTTCCAGTTTTTTTTTTACAATAAATTACTATTATAATTGGCATAAAAATTGAACATTGTCATATTTTAGTAAGGTGTTGCAACGATGGCCTAATAAATGATAGCTTTCAAGCCAAGAATTAGTATCAGAAACATGTTTTCTCCTTTCCCCTTTTGGTTATGCAACAGAAGATTTCCAGTTTTTTTTAACAATAAATTACTATTATAATTATAAAAATTGAACATCGTCATATTTTAGTAATCTCAGATTAATAAAAATCATGTGCCATCATGTCTGTACTGAGTTATGGGAATGGGCAGTGCTCATCCCTGTTTCCAAGCCGTAGAGCCAGCATTTGTCCGAAGACAGTTTCCATTGTCACGTGGCCAGCGCGGCTATACACGGAATGCTGTTTACCTTCCCACCAAGGTGGTACCTATTTACCTACTCGCATTTACATGCTTTCGAACTGCTAGGTTGGCGAGGAGCTGGGACAAAGCGATGGGAGCTCACTCCGTCGCGTGGATTCAATCTTACGACTGCTGGTCTTCTGACCCTGCAGCACACAAAGGCTTCTGCGGTTTAGCCCGCAGCGCCACCACGTCCCTCATATTTTAGTAATCTCAGCTTAATAATAATCATGTGCCATCATGTCTGTTCTGAGTTATGGGATTCCTTTTCAGGGTTTGCCAGGCAGAGAATACTCAGAAGTGGTTTGCCATGCCTTTCTTCTGGGGTTGCCCTGGGGCAGTGCAGTTTGCCCAAGACCACACAGTCTGCCTCTTCTCCCAGGAGGCACACTGGGGAATCGAACTCCAGACCTCTGGTTTCACAGCCTGATACCTAACTAACTGAACTATCCAGCCAACAAATCTCAGGTTACTATGATATAAAACCAGAGACAAATCTTAGTTTAATTAAGCCAAGATTGCTAAAGCTGGATTTGGCCTTTTTCCCATAGTAAGAGATAACTGAATTCATGTTTTTATTGGCATGTTAAATTAAAACACACATATAAATGAACAAAGGAACAATCAATCTGTTCATTCTGTAACAAAATAAAAATTTGTTTCTCATTTATTATACAGTCTAAATATTTCCGTGGTCTCCATCTGCTTCTGCTGTACAGACTTCTCTCACAGACATTATGAGCAAAGTGATCTTGGTTCTGGAAAAAATACAAAGCTCTGCTTGCTTTAAGTTCCATCCACTTTAATGAGAGCTTTAAAGGAACTTTTCACAAAACATCTATTATCCTGTTCAACATATGGAGCGTAGAACAGAACAGAATTTTGCTCTTAATTACATAGGAAATTCAAGTCAGTCAAAACAAACAATGCCAACTACAGTAGTCCCTCAGCAATACAGATTAGCATCAACCCTTCTCTAGCAGAGATTCTCAGCTAAATCAGCAATAACTCAAATGCCTATCTCCTCCCCACTTCTCAGCCTATGTTTTTTAAATTTAAAAATAATGAAACAGATTTACAAAAATAAGCTGAATATTTTAAAACTATCATCAATAAACTTTTTTACAAAGCAATGTCCAGCACAAAGATGCGAAATCTACTCTTAACAATGCCAAAAAATAAATTGCTTTGTCGCTCACACATAAACATTCACTGATATCTGTTGCTTACTATACTAAGTTGTACTAGAGTAGGCTTATTGACTCATTTCACACCTTAGAAAGAATGGCTAACAACAAGGCCAGTGGAGATGATGGCATTCCAGTTGAACTATTTAAAATCTTAAAATATGACACTGTTAAGGTGCTACACTCAATATGCCAGCAAGTTTGGAAAATTCAGCAGTGGCCAGAGGATTGGAAAAGCTCAGTCTACATCCCAATCCCAAAGAAGGGCATTGCCAAAGAATGCTCCAACTACCATACAACTGCACTCATTTCACACGCTAGCAAGGTTATGCTCAAAATCCTCCAAGGTAGGCTTCAGCAGTATGTGGACCGAGAACTCCCAGAAGTACAAGCTGGATTTCACAGGGGCAGAGGAACGAGAGACCAAATTGCCAACATGCGCTGGATTATGGAGAAAGCCAGAGAGTTCCAGAGAAACATCTACTTCTGCTTCATTGACTACACAAAAGCCTTTGACTGTATGGACCACAACAAACTATGGCAAGTTCTTAAAGAAATGGGAGTGCCTGACCATCTTATCTATCTCCTGAGAAACCTATACGGGGGAAAGGAAGCAACAGTTAGAACTGGATATGGAAGAACAGATTGGTTCAAAACTGGGAAAGGAGCACCACAAGGGTGAATATTGTTCCCCTGCTTATTTAACTTACATGCAGAATACATCGTGCGAAAGTCAGGCCTGGAGGAATTCCAAGCCAGAATTAATATTGCTGGAAGAAATATCAACAACCTCCGATATGCAGAGGATACCACTCTGATGGCAGAAATTGAGGAGGAATTAAAGAACTTCGTAATGAGGGTGAAAGAGGAGAGCGCCAAAATTGTTTGAAGCTCAACATAAAAAAACTTAGATCATGCCACTGGTCCCATCACCTCCTGGCAAATAGAAGGGGAAGATATGGAAGCAGTGACAAATTTTACCTTCTTGAGCTCCATGATCACTGCAGATAGTGACAGCAGCCATGAAATTGATCTGCTTCTTGGGAGGAAAGTGATGACAAACCTAGAGAGCATCTTAAAAAGCAGAGACATCATCTTGCAGACAAAGGTCCACATAGTCAAAGCTATGGTTTTTCCAGTATGATGTATGGAAGTGAGAGCTGGACCATAAAGAAGGCTGACCACCGAAGAATTGATGCTTCTGAATTGTGGTGCTAAAGGAGACTCTAGAGAGTCTCCTGGACTGCAAGGAGAACAAACCTATCCATTCTGAAGGAAATCAACCCTGAGAGCTCAGTGGAAGGCCAGATCCTGAAGTTGAGGCTCCAATACTTTGGCCATCTCATGAGAAGAGAAGACTCCCTGGAAAAGACCCCGATGTTGGGAAAGTGTGTAGGCAAGAGGAGAAGGTGACAACAGAGGATGAGATGGTTGGACAGTGTCATTGAAGCTACCAACATGAATTTGTCCAAACTCCAGGAGGCAGTGGAAGATAGGAGGGCCTGGCGTGCTCTGGTCCATAGGGTCACAAAGAGTCGGACATGACTTAATGACTAAACAACAGGCTCATTGATTCAGTGGGGATCTGTCAATTCAATTCCTTTGTAAGTTCCATTGATTCAGTGGGCCTACTCTAGTTGTGACTTACTACACTAAGCAACATGCTTTCAGCCATTGAGTTGTCATTCTCATCATTATCATCATTATTGACTGATATCCCGCCCTTCCTGACAAGCACTCATTTTCACTTAAAGAAAATAAACTGCCTAGCAACAATCAATCATTGGTTCACCCTATCAATCATAGGCATGAATTCTGAACCCTGAGATCTTTTGTGTGCAAAGCATGTGCTCTGAGTTATAGTCCTAACTGAAAAGTAATAGTCAACAGTGATTCATGACAAACTCCTCTGGGGACAGACCTTGGAAATTGCTAGCAGTGTACAAAACAAATCCAAGTCCTATATCTCATCATATAAACATTGTTTGGTGAAAGATTTCCTCCAAATAATTCCCAAATGACAATATTCTCCTTACTACCTAAAATGGATAATGACAAAGAATGATATCATCTGCATCCTCTTTCCAGATGGCCAAAAATATTTTAAGGCCTTCTAAGAAAGAAAATCCAAATGATTCTTCCCTCCATGCACACACTCAACTGTATGATGAAAATATAACTATACTCTATGTAAATATTGTGCTGTGCAGTGAAATGTATTTCAACTTCTGTTTCAGTAATTTTTTTGCAATTGAATCAGATGCTTCTGCTTTTCTGATGTACAGTATACTGTATAAGATACCTTCGGAGATCTCTGCCCTGAAAAAAAAAGGTAGAAAAACTTTCAACAGACCAGGAAAATAATTAACCATTTTGTGTTTTTCCAAAAACCCATTATTTGAAGTAATCTATTTTCCTTTTCTCTCCCTTCTCTTTCCTTTTGTATGATGTGTTTTAAAACTGTAATCCTGAGGGCAGTGAAAGCCGCCCCAGAGCTTTTCCAGCTGTGATGCAAGGCACAAATATCTAACAATAGGGCTTATTATAGTGGCAACACTCTGCCACTGTGTGAAGCTTTAGAGTGGTTCGGTCCTCTTTGAAGCCCACATCCTTCATCTCTTCAGTATAAAATCACACATAAAACTACTGAGACTGCACCATCTTACTTCACAGCACTGCTGTCCCACCCCCACTGTCAACATCACCATCATTAACTGTGACAGAAGTGTTTTACAAACGCCAAAACTCAAATTTGGATTATGGTTCGACTGTCTGTATATTAATTCATAATATGAAAGAGTTCCAACACTGACATTTTTGTTTGCAAATACAGCAAAATGCTATACTGTATGTACTTAAATTAACAGGCCACTGGATGTCACTCTCGTTCCATGAGGCACAAATTAGTTCACAACCAAAGGAGTTTTGAAGTAGATACGCTTCCTTATGACAGAGCCACTGTACATCCCAGAAGAGCCATCCTGTTTGACTTTGGACAAGCTGTACAATCTCTGGATGGCTTCAGGAAAAGGGAACGGTAAACCACTTCTGAGTACTCCCTACCTAGAAAACACTGAAAAGGGTCACCGTAAGTTAGAATTGACTCGACAGCACATATTATTATAAGAGAAGTGTGACGTTCTCCCTCGTGCCCCTTGCTTGACCCTCAAGCCTCATAGCACACGAAGGCAAACACTCTCCTCTTTAACACTGCTGCCACCAGGTGATCCCTAAATCACCATTACCTCAGAAAGATTCAGGTCCACTCTTCAAGTTCTTTTTATTGATTACAGAGATTGATTCATAAATATCTTCAGTAGCTAATCACACCTCAGAATTTCCCAAACTACACACTCTATTACTTTCTCTGAGTTTTCTCTATTGCCTGACACTTACATTTCTCTTACTGACTCTAGACTGACTCAGGCTCCGCCTCTTATAGCATCTCTCTTGGCTCCGCCTCTCAACAACATTAATATGCATGAACCATTATTACATGACGAGCATAAACCATTACATAATATAACATGAACCATAGACCTAATAAATAGAGAATGCTACAAGAAGCTATGATGTTTTCATTTGGCCTTCCATTTCACAGAATTTATGGCGAAGATAAATCGACTTAATTGTACTCATCAGAATTATACTTTGTAAAATCTTCAAAAATTATTATCCATCCTTATTTTGGTACATAAAATAACACATTTAGATTTAAAAATATAAAAACCACAATATCTGCATTCTTTCCGTTGATCCCCTTTGTGTCCTTCTTCTTAGCCTCCCTCCTTCGATCCATTGCCATGTCTTATCTACACAGTTTTGATTTTTGGGTTAACAGCAAAAGAAGGTTATTGATTGGGTTAATTGGGTTCTACCAGCATTTCACAATATAATGGTCTTCACTGAATCAAAGAGTTAGCTGGGGACTCTTTGACTGGGGTTTTCTGTGAGGGTTCAACTTTTGGCTCCTTCCTTTGGTCAAAGAAATTAGGAGATTTTTGTTGTTTAGAAACAGGTGTGATGTTTATTGGTGTGTTCAACAAGTAACTAGTGTCAACAAAATGGCTCCAATATCAACCCTTTAAGTATCTTGGGTATTACCAGTTGCATTTCCTCCCCCCCCCCCCATTCCATTTGCTTCACGGTATAGTATTCTGTCTCTCAACTTGAAGTTTACTTCTCCCTCTTTGGTGGTTCCTTCTGGAACTGCCTTAAGCCGGATTTCTTCCAGTCTCATGTCATCCTGTTGCCAGTTCCTCAGTTGATCTCTGGACATGTTTAACATTTCTTCTTCTAACATACAGTCCTCCGCTTCCCCGTTGTGCGCTTCGGCTACTGTCTATGTTAGTTCCTCCACACTGGGTCTATCTCTCCCCAATAGCACTTATCTCCCTAACCCAGGAACTAACCCTACTTCCAATTCTTTTTTTCTGATCCCCTATTTCTATTTGGGCTAACACCACTCCATAGAGTTTAACGGCTTCATGTACACATTTGATAAACATTTGTTCGGGCAGTTTGTCTCCCTGCAAGTCTCTTATGAGTGTTTTGCTACATCCTGTATCAATGAGTGCCCGAGTGTCTCGGGGGAATTTCTCTTCTTCTCCTATAATCTCCTTAGGCACCCTCAGCCTCTCCCAGGCTCCGGTCCAGGGATCCTCCATCCAGACCCATTCCCAACCTGGAGGTAACTGCCCCTCGCTTCACTTTATATCTGTCATTCCCACCTCTATCTCCCCCCTCTTCTTCCGCTCTGTTCCCGCCGTTTCCCCCGAGTTCCTTCAACAGTTAGTTTTTGTACTTCTCCTTCTAATTTCCTGTATATCTGTCCCTCGCTGTACTGTTCTCATGGGGGATGAGGCAGGCTGGGTTTGTACCTCCTTTTTTGCTGTATGGGGGAGGGACAGCACTCCGGCGAGAGGGATACCATTCTCGCCCCGTCTCACATTTTCTTGTACACATATCTACTTCAAACATGTAGTCAAGCATTCTGTTTCTCTGCCTGTCCTGAGTTCAGTTTCTGAGGTGTCTGATATGTTTGATTCACTGCACTCTCTCCCACAGGTCATCCAGAAAGTAAGTTTGCTTTCTCCCAAGACACAGGTATCTTAGGCTTTCATGAGCTAGACCCATTGCTCCCACCACCACTACTCTCTTTCCTTACGGCTTCTCCCTTCCTAGGCTTTGTGCATGCCACTAAGCAGACTGCTGTGGCCTCCAAGTAGGATTAACGGAACAGGAAGGGAAAACATGGCTGAATCAGAACATGGTGACTGTGCATTCCCACCAATTACATCACTGATGCTTTGCAATGTTTTCACAAGTTGCACAAGTTCCAAAAACTGGTTTGTGCACAGCTGTTTTTAATGACGTGAAACAAATCCACTTGTCCATCAGAAAGGAGGGACAAGCATCATAATAATCAGGGTCAGTGAAATCTCAAGAAAAGTGAGAACCAGTCATACTGATAAGGTTCAAAGGGCCTGGAACAGATGTGAACAAATCACTAAGGACCTGGCCGCCAGTGCACATCAAAAACTGTGATTAAATAGATCCTAGGGAAATAGGAGAGATACACATGCCACACTACCATGCAAGACTGTAAATACAAACCAGGCAGCCAGAAATGGAAGAAGCTTAACTGACATAAGGCAAAGATCGTCAGTGTTGTCATGATTTCTCAGTCAAACCTTTATCTTAAAGTTTTCACTCCTGTTCTTCAAACAAAGGCGTACAGGTCATGCGCGCACACATACACATACACCCCCTCTCTCCATTTGGCTCTTCTTCGAACCAGACATGTTTCTGCTTGGCCAGGGAAGATGGGGTGATGAAGAAAACCCATGTCATTTGGTTGTTGTGGGTTTTTCAGGCTCTTTGGCCGTGTTCTGAAGGTTGCTCTTCCTAACGTTTCGCCAGTCTCTGTGGCCGGCATCTTCAGAGAACAGCACTCTGTGCTCAGTGCTGTCCTCTAAAGATGCCGGCCACAGAGACTGGCGAAACGTTAGGAAGAACAACCTTCAGAACACAGCCAAAGAGCCCGAAAAACCCACAACAACCATTAGATCCCGGCCATGAAAGCCTTCGCGAATACGTAAAACCCATGTCCTCCATCTGAAAATTGGGGTATAATTTAGATAATCCACTAAATCTAGCCAATTGAGGCCAGATTAATGTAAAAAGAATATTACCTAGTGGTTGCAGTCCTGCTAAGAATATAAGGAGAGACACCACATGGAATGTGCCTTGACTTGCTTTGAAGAATGAAGCAAGAGGGGATTATAGCTGTGATGAGGGAGATATCAGTTTATTACTAAACCTTGAGAAATTATGCCTCAAAATCTGGGCTTTCTTTGTAAACACATACACATACATTGCGTACACCCTAAACCTTGAGAAATTATGCCTCAAAATCATCTGGGCTTTCTTTGTAAACACATCCACATACATTTCGTACACACTCAAACACACCTAGGAGACATGGGCCAGTGCTATTCAGAGAGAGGTCATCGTCCTTGAAAGAAACGTTTTTTAAGAGGAAATATGATTTGTGATTAGTGTACAACCATGGTGAGAAAGGCGGGAGGTCGGGGCTGGGATTCTCCCAACAGAGCCCACATCATGAGACATAAAGCGTGTCCCTACGGCAGCCATAGACTTCCAGGACATGATTCCTAACCCTCACCTCACTGCTTGCCTTCACCTGGGCTGTGAAACAGTTTGAAAACTTCTGTTCTGGTTTGCAAACTGCTCGAAGTTTCTCACCGTGCAACGGTTTCGTTAGGATTTCGACTGATCCCTATCCAGGAATTCCTAAACTCAGCTCTTCCTAACACATGGCTGCGCAGGGCAGTTCATTTAAAGTTCAGAAGCCGCCTGCCTCCCCCGGACGGACGTTCCTCGTCTGAGGCAGCGACTTCTACTTGACCCACCCGACATGCCTGCCGACCTCTCCCTGCCCTTACCTTCGCCTTCTCTTCCCTCTCTAAAGATGGTCGCGCCGACCTAGCAAGGGGCTCCGCGGCCTCCTCCGCCGAGAGCTCCCCCTTCAGGTGGGGAGGAGAACCTGATTTCGCACCTCTCCCTTCTGTTCAGTTCTGCTTTAATTATAATCCCAGCGCAGGAGAGCCGGGCGGACTGCAGCCTCTGGGGCGGTCGCAGCCTGGGGAGAAGTGGGACGGGAGAACCTCCTGCTGAACGCGTTTTGTCCTATCTACGCAAACACCCACCCACACCCCCACGCCTCGTTCAGAAGATAAAAAGGGCGACCTCCGTGTTCTCCAGACGAGATAGGGGCACAGCAAAGGCCTGGCAGCCCCGTTGCAGGCTGGTTTCTCGCAGATAAAAACGAGGGGAAGGGATGGGGACCAGCAACCCTCAGGGACGCCGGGAAGGTAGATGGGCCCCATCCTGCTGCTCTCTGTTCCGGAGTTCTCTCCATTCCCCAGAGGAACCCCAGAGAACCGAGACCAGAACGAACCAGCCCCACTTTCCTTTGAAGCGGCCGGCGCGAGCCGGACCCTGTCTCGGCGCACGGGGCCGCGAATGACCGCAAATACAAACGGTTAAGGAAAAAAAAGGAATAAATTATTTTAAAAAGAGAAGAAGCAGTCCGAGGTGATTTCTCACTTTGCTGGGCAGTTTCGCTGCCGTGTTTATTCCTCTCTAACCTCCCAAAACGAGGAAGAGGCCAGTGGACGCGAATAACGTCGTGTGGGCTGAGAAGCAGTGGTACAAACTCAGTACCTTTCTGTCAGATTAAAAGCATTTCTTAAATAGATAGGCCATAGATGGAGACATCTAAAATTAAATACTTTAAGGTCGATTTAGGTATACTAATGCCTCATGCCTTCCCAATTTCGCAATTTGGTTTCTGAGCTAGAAACTTTCCTGCGACTGTTATTAGATATGCAGCCCTGACAGTTAACTGTGTTTGATGTTAGATGCACGTGTCACACTCAGGGTCTAGTGTTGTCTAAATGTCTTGGGGTTTCAACAGATGGGAGGGTGCATTTTGCTCTTTCCTAAATCCCTAAATTGCTGTATCAAAATTCCATGAAAACACTTTGCTTGGGCAAATTTTTCGTCCACTATGAGCTGCATACCTAGCAGACTGGGGCAGTTCAAGGGTTTAGCTAGCTGGCTGCAGAACCAAAGGCCAGGAGTTTGATTCCCCCTCTGTGCCTCCTGCAATAAGAGCCCCTCTGTATAGTTGCAGGCAAGCTGCACATCCTCGGGTGCCCCAGAAGAATGGAATGGTAAATCACTTCTGTGTGTTCTCTACCTAGAAAACCCTGGCAAGGGTTGCCATAAGTTGAAATCAACATGATGGCATGTTGTTGGTGTTGTTAGCTACCTAGTCACATTTTTCTAGTAATAATGGATATTTTCAGAATTTACTGTTTTAACACGTTTGTGCTTGATGG